TATTTTTACTATAGCTTTTTTCTATGTTTAGATACCCAGATACCATTGCATTACAGTTGCCTGCATTATTCAGCACAGTAACCTGCTCCCCAGGAGAAGCAGAGTCTACCCCCAGCCTAGGTGTGTGGTGGGCTGCACTGGCTATGTGCACGTCGCTCCATGATGCTCACACAATGATGAAATTGCCTAGGGATGCATTTCTCCGAAAGTATCCCTGTCGTTGAGCAACAGGACTGTGCACAACACATTGTGATTAACTAGAGTCCCCACGTCACACAATAGAGCTCCCGAATCCATTCACCACATCTGACTGAAACTTTCTGCCCTTTCACCAGCATCTTCCAATTTCTCATCCCGCCGGCCCCCTGGTAATTTCCTTTCCACTCTGCTTCTACGAGGGCGACTGTCTTCGATTCCACATGGAGATCACAAGGGATTTGTCCTTGTGTCTGGCTCATTTCACGTAACAGGACATCCATCCACGCTGTCACAAATGGCAGGATTTTCCTTTTTGAGGCTGAGTCGTGTTCCATGGTGTGTACGATCCGCATTTGCTCCGCTCACCCACCGATGAACACCTAAGTTGGTCCCCTACTTGGCTGTTATGAAGAGAGCTGCAGAGAAGAAGGGGGAAGGTGTCTCTTCAAGACACTGATTTTATTTCCCTTGAATGTTCACCCAGAAGTGGGATTGCTGCACCGCATGGCTGGGCTATTTTTAGGTTTTTGAGGAAGCACCAGACTGTTTCTGCAATGGCTGCACCAATAGACATCCCCACCGTGTGCAGAGTTCCCTCCCACACCCTCTCCAGCACTCCCTCTTATCTTTCTGAAGACAGCCAGCCTAACAGGTGAGAGGCGATATCTCAGTGCAGTTTTGACTCACATTTCTCTGGTAATTATTGATGTTGAATCTTTTTAAATTTATCTGTTGGCCATTTGTTGAGAAACGTCTATTCAGATTTTTTACTCGTTTTTTTCAGTCAAATTATTTTGTTTTGTTATTGAATTGTATGAATTCTTTACATATCTTGGAGATTAACTCCTGATCAGAAAAATGGTTCAAAAATACTTTCTCCCATTCCATAGGTTGTATCGATAGATAGTGATTTTTAAAAAAAAAAAAACAATGTTACTTAGGAGTTAGCTAATTTCCTTGTCACTGTGAATATTCAGAACACTGGGAGTCAAAATCATATTCTCCAGAGAAGGAAAAATGGCTAGATCACATCTGAAAGAACTGGAATTAAAACAGCCCTGACCCTAAACCCAGGAAGGGCGGGAATCAGCGTCAGCGTGGGAATCAGGGTCAGCCTCCCTGGTGGCAGCACATGCCGTGGGTGGTGCGTGAGTGTGCCACCTCCCCCCACACGGCAGCGTCTCCCTAAAACGCATAACCCCGGGGTAATGTTGAAAAAAACATCAGACAAAGGAAGATTCAAAACATTCTACAGAATACTCGGCCAGTACCCTTCAAAACTATCAAACTCATGAGAAACAAAACATAAAAACAAAAGACAGAAATTGCCACAGCCAAGGGGAGCCTAAGGAGGGATGAGGCACTGAGGCCCTTGGGTGGGTCCTGGGGTGCAGGTCACAGGATGTCTTGGCCATGCTCACTGCTGAGCACAGGGTGTCTTAGTGGGGCTGTGAGGGAACCCCGAACTATCTTTGCGACTTTTCTAAAAACCTAAAATTATTCCCAAAGAAAAAGTTTATTTTAAAAAATTAGCACCAGTCTTATAAACAGTAATAATAATGTAGTAATAATGTAGTAAATGCCTACAAAAGACTACCTGAAATTTATGAGAGAAAATTATTTCCATCAAGAGGTTTATACCAAGAAAACTATTAATGAAGTCTGAGGCCAAAATAAAGATATTTTTCAACACACAGGGACTCAAAATATCTTCCTCCCATACAATTCTCCTTAAGAAAATACTGGAGGATGTACTCCGGCAGAAAAAACGGACAACTGAAGAAACAGCAGCTGTGGAATTCGGTAAACTGGCTTGCCCAGGGTGTTCAGGGGCAGCGAGGGGGAATGCAGATGGGAGCTCACCCAGCCGCAGAATCCCTGCCAGGCTTTCCGCAGACCTGCGGAAATGTTTGCAAAAACGCACTGGTCAGTGCAGAGAGATGTAGGAAATGAAACTGTGACTTGATTAGTAGCCTGGGGACAAGCTAACGGCTGTGTAAAGACTGTGATGACAGTTCCCTCCGTGGCTCGGCTGTGAGAGCCCCATGAACCTGGTGCACCCAGAGCCGCGGTGTGCCTTCGGTGAGGACGGGGAAGGCTCCTGCTCCTGCAAGAGTTAAGTCACCAATTACTATGGAAAATGTATAAACAGCACGTTATTCTTAAAGGTTGCCTCTGGGGTGCAGAACTGGGGCTGTGAGGGGAAGGGACAGAGGGCTGCTGGTTTTAAAACTTTTTAAGAAGGTGATGTAGTTTGGGTAGTTGTCCCCACCCAAATCTCATGCTGAATTGTAATCCCCAATGCTGGAGGTGGGACCTGGCCAGAAGTGTTCAGGTCACAGGGGCAGATCCCTGACGCTGGGTGTTGTCTTCCCAATAGTGAGTTCTCATGAGATCTGGTCATTTAAAAGTGTGTGGCCCCCTCTCCACTCTCTCTTGCTCCTGCTCTGGCCATGTGACCTGCCCCTTCACCTTCTGTCATGATTGGAAGCTTCCTGAGGGCTCCCCAGAAGCCAAGCAGATGCTAGCGTCATGCTTCCTATAAAATATGAAGACTTGTGAGCCAATTAAATCATTTTATTTATAAATCACCCAGGCTCAGGTACTTCTTTATAGCAATGGTAGGATGGTCTCATAGGGGAGGTAAATGAAAATATACTTCAAAAACCCTTAATATTTTTATAAAGAAAAATGTACGAAAGACAATGTTGAAAAGGAAAGCAAAAGCAAAACTCTGCTTACAAACTGAAAACAAGTCAGGGTTGATGTTCAGTTATAAAGGTTGTTGATAGCCAATCCATTTCTTTTGCTGGCACCCTCTTCAGGTAGGTTAGTGTCCATTCTGACACTTGGTGCCTGTTCTGATGGTTGGTGCTGGTTCTTATGGTTGGTTCCTGTTCTGATGGTTGGTTCCTCTTCTGATGATTAGTGCCCATTCTTATGCTTGGTGCCCTGTTCTGATGTTTGGTTCCTAATCTGATGCTTGATGCCCATTACAATAGTTGGTTCCCATTCTGATGGTTGGTGCCTGTTCTGATGGGTGGTTTATGTTCTGATGGTTGGTTTCTGTTTTGATGATTGGTTCCTGTTCTGATGGTTGGTTCCGTTCTGATGGTTGGTGCCTGTTCTGATAGTTGGTTCCTGTTCTAATGTCTGTTTCTTGTCCTAATGGTTAGTGCCTGTTCTGATAGTTGGTGCCCTGTTCTGATGGTTGGTGGCTGTTCTGATGGTTGGTGGCTGTTCTGATGGTTTTTGTTCTGATGGTTGGTTTCTATTCTGATGATTGGTTGGTGCCCTGTTCTGATGGTTATGGCTGTTCTGATGGTTGGTGGCTGTTCTGATGGTTTTGTTCTGATGGGTTGGTTCCTCATTCTGATGATTGGTTTCTGTTCTGATGGTTGAGCTTGTTCTGATAGGGGCGATTTCCTATTCTGATGTTTGGTTTCTGTTCTGATGTTTGGTTTCGCCCTGAGTATTCCTCGTTCTGATGGTTGGTGCCTGTTCTCATGGTTGGTGTCCTGTTCTGATGGTTGATTTCTTGTTCTGATGGTTGGTTCCCGCCCTGATGTTTCATTTCTGTTCTGATATTTGGTTCCTGTTCTGATGTTTGGTTCCTGTTCTGACATTGGTTGATTCCTGTTCTGATGGTTGGTTCTTCATTCCTGATGGGGGTTGGGTGTCCTGTTCTGATGGTTGGTTTCTGTTCTGATGTTTGGTTTCTGTTCTGATGGTTGTTCCCGTTCTGATGTTTGGTTCCTATTCTGATGGTTCGTGCCCATTCTACTGCACTCATGACTCATTCTGATTAACTGTAGCCAAGACTTACTAGTGACTAAACATTTTGACTCTCGCCCTTGTAATTATGTAAACATTTTGCATCATATGCTCAAGGACTTAATTTGTGTAGGTAGATTTCTTGAACAGCGGTTTCGGGGGTGCTTTCAAATGTTTATGTCAGTAATTTCTGTAGTTTATTCAATTAATGAAGTTAAAGCATGCACCCTGGTGACTTTGGGTTTGCAAGCAAAGTGCAGTACATTTATCAGGCTTTGTAACATTGTACCCCTGGGCCTTTCCCAGGTAAACCTTCTGCTGTGTCCTGAGGGCCGTAGCTGCCCCAGCTGGCACTCTGCAGCCCTTCCCTCTGCTTGCCCAGGTCACCAAGTGGAGCTGGGGAGGAAGGAGAGGGCAGGGAGAGGAGGAGAGATCAGAACTCTCCTTTGGAACTCCCGGTCCCTCTGGAAGCATTTGGAGCTCACTGGGACCCTCCCCATTTTCACTGCAGGTTCTTTTTTGTTCGTTTGTTTTTTGTGTTGTTTTTTGCACCCACCCTCCCTGCCTGTGCCATAGGCTCTGTCAGTAACATTTTTGATCCACATTTTTGCCATTACTACATTGGGTCTGATAACACAAAAGTGTGTGAGCTCCCTCAGGAAAGAAAAAGGGCACAGTCTAAGTAGGTGGTGCTCATTTTGTGATGAAAGCCCCATCTTGTCTTCTTTTTTCATCAAGGTGGTCTGACCAGCCTGCCCTGTACTGACCTCATTGTTGGTCTTCTCTAGACACCAAAGCCATGGGCCACAGTGTGTGGGAGGAGGATTCACGTCGGCCGGGGACTTCCCTGCAGCCACAAGCGTGGGTGCAGTGGCGATAAGCACGCAGAGGAGGGTGAAGTGTGTAGGTATGTCCTGGAAGGTTCAGCAGCTGTCCCCACAGTGGGCCCACAGGAACGGCGGGGTGGACACACTGCTCTCTAAAAGTGCAACAGCCGGGAAAACAATCGGGGGCACAGGAGAAGTCACTGGAGACCCATTGTTTTATTTAGGAAACAAACTCTGAAGCAGGCCCTGCTGCTCCCCAAACACATGCCCACTCCAAGGACCAAGTTTTCAACACTTTACCTCTTCCCTGACACACACGAAGTGAGTCACCCCCTCTGCCAAGACTGAAGGGTTGCGCCCAGGCCCCTGCTCCAAGCAGCGATGTCAGGAAGAGTCTGGGCTGTGGCAGCTGGGGGACAGTGCGACACCCACTGCCTAGACACCAACCCAGAGGGCAGCCAGGCCCGCAGGGACAGGGCCAGTCATCAGGGACAAGAAGCGCATGGAGACTCTGCACACACTTAGTCCAAAGGTTGGCTCCAGAATTTTAAAGTCCCAACAGGATGATGGGGGCAGGTGTCCGCACTGGAGGGTGAATGACAGGCAGCAAGGCCTCAGAACTGGGGTTCCAGTTCCTCTCCCCGGGAAGAAAAGGAAGCAGCACCAGTCTGGGCGGATCCAGTTCCTCTCCCTGGGAAGAGAAGAAGGCAGCACCGATCCGGACAGATGAGGCCAGGCAGCAGCATCCTGGCAGGACCACAGCAGGAGGGAGAAGCCAACAGTGCCACGTGGCTCCCGAGTGCCGAGCACAGAATGAGAGGAGGAAACAGGAGAGGAGGGGAGGCCGGGGGGCTGCTTGGTGCCCAAGATTTCTCAGATGTTCCAGATCCCTGGCTCTGCTACTGGCTCGCTTTACAGTGAGGCCAAGGAAGGAGCCATGGAGGGGTTGTTGGCTGTAGAAGCAGGATTCCTGTGTGTTCTGTAAGCTTGGAGCATCCAGAAGCCACTAGCCAACATGGACCTGTGGGCGTCAGAGGGTGAGCAAGGCAACAGCCAAGACCAGGTGGAGGCCAGAGGCCCTACAGGTACAGCCAGGACAGAAATAAGGAGACCTTAGCCCCAACAAGGGCAGTGTCTTGATGGCCAAGCAGGAGCAGGGATGCTCTCAAGAAGTGTTCTCCACAGTAGCCTGGCACCAGGAAAGACCCAGCCATCGGGTCAGCGCCGTGGTCTCCCAGCCAGTGTGCGCATGGCTGCAAATAGAGAAAAACACACTGGGAGACCACACCCAAGGTCACTGCAGATCCCAGCACAGGCAACCCCTGGCAAGGCCATTCCTGTGCCGGGCTAAGCCGAGGGCGGGCTCTGACTCAGCTAAGAGCCCACACGAGCTACATTTCTAGTGCTGGCAGCAACGTATCGTTGCTCCAACTTTGACTAAAACTGAGGGATCCGGTCAGTATTGTGTTTCGACTTAAGTGTAAAATGAAGGGCAGGGCACGGGTCTCTGCGTGCCTCTCCCGCGGCTCGCATGGGGCTGCTGCTGGCTGGGGGGAGCAGACGCTTCCTCATGAGTAGATTCAAGCCCCAGCTGTGACCAGATGTGGAATTTTCGAAGTTCTCATTCAGAGAACCAAGCTTTCGCTTCCACTTACCCCTCGAGTTCTGCCCTGGGTATGCCTCTGGTTTTTACACCCCTCCAGGTCCCAGGTCTCGCCCTAATGGTGCCCAGAGACTCTGCTGCTCTCCACTGGCTGGGCCCTAAATCTACCCAACACTGAAGTTTGGTTGGCGCCTGCTGGCTCTGCCAGCGTCTCTCTCTCCGGCCAGCAGGATGGCTCTGCCGGAAGTCTCATCCCTCCTCCTCCCCATCCCGTCCCTGAGCCTTCAGCCCGGGTGGCCGCTTTGAAGTGTCCGCGTGTTCTCCTCTCCTCCGCAGACCCCTCTTCAGCTGCCTGTCTGGGCTGGCACAGGATGTGGGCGCCCCGTGGCACTCTCTTCTGTGCCAGCCCACAGGCCCACACTTCGACCTGCTTCCCCACTGAGACAGCTTCTCCTGTTTATTTTTTACCATTTTGCGGCTCCCACCAACTCCTTCTGCCTTCTACCGATGCATACTCCAGGCCCAGCCAGCTGGAGCCCGTGCTGCAACCCAGCCAGGATTCCCCTTCCTGATGCTGAGGGGCCCCATCTGCCTCCACCCATGGATCCCACAGGCAAGGCCAGGGTTGGTTATACCTCACACAGACAACCCTAGCACACCTGCCTGAACTCTCTCCTGTATATTCCCAACCAATCTGAAGCTCGGATCTTTTTTTAATTTCCCAAGTATCTACATATAAGTCAGAAGTAAAATTACCTAAGGATTTTTTAAGCAGCTGAGAGGTAGTAGGAGTGTTTGTCTACACAAACAGAGGGACATTTTGCCTGGGTGCGTTTAGGTAGGAGGCTGCCCTGCCGTGGCGCGAGTCTCTCCTGAGCTGCCCGACGACCACTTCTCTCCTGGCAGAGAGCACCTGGCACAGTCCCTACACATTTTCGAGAAAGAGTGAGGGGGCCACTGTGTCACCTGCAGTCCCCACGTGGACACACTAGGGGAACACCAGGTAGAGGAGGGGTGAAGAACCACTGACCCCGCCAAGACCAACAGGAATGCAGACTGAGCTCAGGAAGCTGCTGCCTGCACATCTCTACTCACCTTTCACTTAAAAACCAAGTCGGAGGGAAAACAAAACACTCATGCGAAGAAGTGGGACCCGGCTCTGGCTGCAAAGTCGCCCTTCATGCTTCACGCAAGAAAAAGGTCTCAGAGGGTGAGGGCAGGGCGTGGGACAACACCCACCCCACAAGCCTGCTGCCCATCCACTGCCTGCAGTGTAGACAGAGCCTCACCACTCCCACAAGCCCGCTGTGTAGACAGAGCCTCATGTACCTGACAAGCCAGCTGCCCACCACCCCTCCAGTGACTGCTGAATAGACAGAGCTTCACCCCTCCCAAAAAATCTGCTACCTGCTGCCCCTCCACTGCCTGCAGTGTAGACAGAGGCTCACTCACTTCCCAGTGGCTTCTGGGGAGGAGGAAACCCTCCCTGAATCCTCAGGCCCCTCCTCTGGGTGAGTGTGGGCAGAGGGCAGCCTGGGCAGCAGCTGTTGGAGGAGCAGTAAACTGCAATCAATGCACACAGTGATCCAGGGGCTGCCTCTGGTAACTCACGGGAGAATTCCAGAAAGTTCCATGACATCATTTCCATAATTCCCAGTACGCAGCAAAGCTGGAGCTGGAAAAAAAGGGGCAGGTGGGGCTGGGGACCCGGGGACCACGACAGGGCACCTGGGACAGGCACTGCTAGGGTGTACAGTGTGGCATCACACAGCTCACAGCTCCAAAGACTGGGAAGTCCAAGATTGAGGGTCACATCTGATGAGGGTCTTCTTGCTGCACCAAAACCTGATCAGGCTAGCACAGGGTGGGACCATGCCACAGAGGGAGAGGGGAGGGAGCCATGCCACCCTTTTATCAGTGGGTTCTCTCAAAGTACCTAGCACACTCCTGTGATAACCGCATTAATCCATGTCCAAGGGCAGAGGCCTCAGAACCTACTCAAGGTCCCTCCTCCCAACACCGTTGCACTGGGAATTAAATTTCCAACACAGGAGCTTTGAGAACACGGTCAAATCACGGCACCAGCTGAAGTCACCAGGGGGCCACCATTCCAAGAAACCCTGAAGATGGTGGAGATGGAGCACAAAGGAATTAGGAAGTGTTGAACCATGTTAGATGGAATGCCATTCATGCAAAAGCAATATGCTCGATCCTGGAATTGCTTTTATCCTTGGGTTCTATTGCCACTTTTCGAAAATTCTGTGATGTGCAGCACACAGAAATAAAAAGAGGTAACACAGAAATTCTCAGGTCCATCAGCCAAGGGGGCCTTGCTGACCACAGGTGGAGGTCTCAGGCCCACAGGGCTCTGACCCCCAGCCAGTACCACGGCCTCCTCTATCCTCCCCCGGCACTCACGATTCAACAACACAGACTTCATATTTGCCATTTGACAACTTGCCTTCTGATAGGGCTCCAATTGTGAAATTAGCAAGAGCAAGGCAAGAAAAAATTTTATATTTTTATAAAAACACAAAAACTTCTAAGGGTGATACATTCCCTTAAGGTAAAGCTGCTTCCCAGCTAATGCAAGAGCTGCAAGCAGCTGGGAAATGGGTGTCGAGTCCTCTAGCCTGGCTCTGGGAATCCATTCATAGCTGCTGCCTGGTAGGTTAAAGTGTGCAGAGGATTCATGAAGAACAAGGAGAAAACCAAGACAGTCAGCTCGGTTTGGTTCCTGAGGGGGAAGCCCTGGGCTCATCGTGGCCTCTCTGAGGATGGGTGCCTGGAGGAAAGGGTGGCACAGGCAGCTCCAGGCAGCTCCTGAGGGAAACCTGGGTTTTTGGAAACGCTGGGGGAGTAGCTGAGGGAGGTGATTTAGAAGGCAATACTTTGGGGCCTTGTGTCTTTTCTTTGGCTCTCTGTTGCTGGGGCAGAAAGACAGAGCAGTCTCAGGCATGCTTTCCTCCTCTCCTGAGCCAGCCTCGGGTCAGCTGAGAGCTGCAGCAGGGAGGGTGGGAAACCCAGGCTGGTGTTCCCGAGACAGCTCCTCCCACTTGCCCGTGTCTCCTTCCGCTGAGTAGAAACAAAGCATTTCTCCCTGCTTGGCAACGTAAATCAGGGATGTGTCTTCGTCTCTAGTGATAAATAGGACTTTGTTTCATTTATTCCGAGGCGTTTAGAAAAGAACTGTTTTAAAAAAAAAAAAAAAAGCCAGATTGTCCCTCAAATTGTTCGTTCACATGCCTGGACAGCTTTCTCCAGCCCTACCAGGGAAAACATCTAGGGATATCAGACCAGACAGGAAGACCTTGAACTCCTTCCGAGCAGGAGCCTCTCCAGAATTCCAGGACATCCCAGCTCCCCCGCCATGAGTGGGCGCTCAGCAGATCTGGAAGGAAGTGAACCCAGGACTTTCCACACTGGGGTCCTCAGCAAGGTTGATGTGCGGGCTCCACGGTGCAGCCAGCTCCAACTTCTCCACCCGCCGGCCACCGAACCCTGTTCTCTCCGAGGCCTCCTTTGTCCACACCTCCGAGGAGCTCTGCCTGTGGTCACAAGTGCAGCCAAGAATAAGGGGCTATTTGGGTCAGGCAAGTCTGTGTGTTTCGGGAAAGTTGCCCCGGGGTTAGGAAATGCTCCATCTGAGCGAAAGGCCCTCCCCACCGGTTCTTGGAGCCAAGGTGTCACCCACCCTGCTGGTTTTCTCTTTGGTGAGATTGTCTTTCGATTCCATTTTTGGCCTAGTTTCCTAAGCCAAACCTCACACAGCTTGGCTGAGAGAGCACAGAACAGGAAAACCAGCGTGGAGAAAGGCTGGCCATAAGGAAATAGTCACTTGGCCGACGATGTCCACAGTCCCCTGACGTCTGTCCCCAGCACTGAGCAGCGGAAACCACAGATTCTTGAAGCAGGAATTCAAGTCCTCAGGCAAAGGCACGTTGTGACTGTCTGATCAGCATTTTCTATCGATCTTTTTACAAATTACCTTTGTTCTTTCTCTAAGGCCAGACAGGGGTCTGGAGACTGGAGCAGGAAAGCCATCCGGTTGAGGCGGCCAGTGCCTCAGACTGCCCAGGGAGCCTCAGCCCCACCCCACACCGTCCACGGTCCCTGGCTGCAGGATCTGGATCTGGGGGCTGCTGTGAGGTGGACAAGGTGCAGCTGATTCCAGGGCACCCCGAGCTGAAGCAACACCACGAAACCAGCCGCAGGCACTCAGGCCAAGCTGTACCAAGAGGGACGTTTGTCTGTCAGATCAAACGTGGGGTGGTTGTTTGGCCCAAGGCTGCCCGTGCTGTTCTCTGCCCCTCAGTACGCCAGGTTATGAGGTGAGCTCTGGCCCTACCCTCCCACCCTCCGCCCGCCAGCTGGCTGGAGTCCCTGTGCCCGCCCGCCCGCAGGGCTGCGGCTGCCCTACAGGAGCTGGGACTGACTCTAATTGTGATTTGATCTCGTTGTGTTTTCTCTGTGAAGTGCTTCACCGTTAGGAAAGTAAAGGGCTGCCGCCCGGCTGCATAAATTCCTGACACATCAATGTCCCCATTAGAGCATGAGTCAGCAGCCCGGCCGGCAGGTGCTGAGAGCTTGGCCGCCAGCCCACCCCTGCAGAACTTCAGAGCGAGCCGTCTCCACACAGAGGGGGAGCCTCTCAGGGAACCCCAAGCTGAAGACTGCCCTCCATCACCTCGTCTGTGGCAATGAGGCCTGCGGGGGAGAGGGAAGGAGGCGTGTGCTGTTAATAAGAGGCTCACGTCTGAGAAAAAATTACCATTCCCAAAAAGTCAGGCCTTTGAGGTGATCGTCACTACAACCAAGACTCCCCAGAGTCCCATCTGCATGAGCCGGACACGCCTGTCACGTGGTGGCATGCGCCGAGCACCCACACACCGGCCCCCACAACACCGCACTAGCTCTGCAGAAGGCCCCCTCCACCCACGCCCACCTCAGTGGACTCCAGCAGATGGGTGCCCAGGTTGACTCCAATTCACAACTGACCACGGAAAGAGCAAGGCTGGGAAATCGGCAGGGGCTGCCAGGACCACAGCAACCTTCCTCCCTGTGTCCCTGGAGGACAGCAAGGGGCTCAGGGGGGTCCTCACTCACAGGCACCGGGCACTTTGCCTGCACCCTCATCTCCATCCGCAGGAGGCACAAAGGCGGCCTTACAAGCCCAGTCAGGCACATGGGAAGGTCCCTTCTCACCAGACATGCCAGTGGGGGCCAGGGCCCCAGGGGTGCTGGCTGGAGAGGGGCATCTCCTGCGTACCATCCTGGCCCTTGGGTTCACAGCAGGCATGGAAGCCAGCGGGCAAGACTGCACACCCCTCCCTCCTCCCAGCCCAGGCCTGCACCCCCTCCCTCCTCCCAGCCAAGGCCTGCACCCCTCCCCCTCCTCCCAGCCCAGAGCCCCTGCACCCCTCCCTCCTCCCAGCCCAGGCCTGCACCCCCTCCCTCCTCCCAGCCCCAGGCCTGCACCCTCCCTCCTCCCAGCCCAGGCCTGCCCCTCCCTCCCTCCCAGCCCCAGGCCTGCCCCCTCCCTCCTCCCAGCCCAGGCCTGCACCCGCCCTCCTCCCAGCCCAGGCCTGTACCCTCTCCCTCCTCCCAGCCCAGGCCTGTACCCTCTCCCTCCTCCCGGCCCCAGGCCTGCTGCCCTCTCTCCTCCCAGCCCCAGGCCTGCCCTTCCCTCCTCAGCCCCAGGCCTGTGCCTCCTTCCTCCAGCCCAGGCCTGCCCCTCCTCCTCCCATGCAGGCCGTGCCGTGCTGATGGATGGAGACAGGTCTGGCTGCACCTGGTGCTGTGCTCACCACCTGTTCCTTCCAGGAGGTTTTCTCCAGCCCTGCCTGTAGACACCTGCCACACAGGCCCTCCAGCATGGCCTGCCCCATCCTAGCCCTCCGGGTCCTCTGGCCAGCCTCCTCCCTCTATGGCACATTGCTTTTCTGCTGTCAGCCCCAGGCCTCACAGCATCAGCCAGAGACGCCCGTGCCCCTGGGCAGGGTGTTCTCAGTCATGGCCCCTCCACAGAACCCAGAACCCCTCATAGCCAGACCCCACAGAACCCAGGCCCCACTGCAGAATGCAGCATTACAAGAACAATGCTGGCCTTTTCCAGGCTCCTGAGGGCTGGGGCCAGCGGACCCTTCCTCTCTATCCTAGAGCGTCAGCACTCCTGAGAGGCAGTGACCCCAGGCAGAGCCAGCCGCGGTAGGATCCACTCCTCCTTCCTCAGACTGCCTGGCCACAGATCCTTCTAGTACCACACAGCGGGCTCTTGCCATGCTGGGAGCTTCTCTCAGAAAGCGCCTTTTCCAGCCTTCGCCGGTCCTTGGGTGAAGAAGCGGGACTTGTTCTTACCCACTCCTGGGGCTTCCTGGGAGTCCAATATTTGCAAGCCCTGTGGTTGGGCAGTCCTCCCAGCCCAGGCCTGCACCCCCTCCCTCCTCCCAGCCCAGGCCGGCGTGCCGGGTACTGATGGATGAGACAGGTCATTGCACCTGGTGCTGTGCTCACCACCTGTTCCTTCCAGGAGGGTTTTCTCCAGCCCTGCCTGTAAGACCCTGCTGCACACAGGCCCTCCAGCATGGCCTGCCCAGCTCCTCGCCCTCCTGGGTCCTCACAGCCCCGGCCTCCTCCCTCTATGGCCGTGCTTTTCTGCTGTCAGCCCCAGGCCTCACAGCATCAGCCAGAGACGCCCGTGCCCCTGGGCAGGGCCTCAGTCATGGCCCCTCCACAGAACCCAGAACCCCTCTGTAGAACCCAGGACCCCCCACAGAACCCAGAGCCCCACTGCAGAATGCAGCATTAAGGACAATGCTGGCCTTTTCCAGGGCTCCTGAGGGCTGGGGCCAGCGGGACCCTTCCTCTATCCTAGAACGTCAGCACTCCCTGAGAAGGCAGTGACCCCGAGCAGAGCCAGCACGTGAGGATCCCACTCCTCCTTCCTCAGACTGCCCTGGCCACAGATCCTTCTGGTACCACAGCAAGGCTCTTGCCATGCTGGGAGCTTCTCTCAGAAACGCCTTTTCCAGCCTTCATGGTCCTTGGAGCAGAAGAACGGGACTTGTTCTTACCCACTCCTGGGGCTTCCTGGGAGTCCAATATTTGCAAGCCCTGTGGTTGGGGCAGTCTCAGCTCTGGGTCTGAGCCTCTGAGACAGGCGCCGTCCACCCTCGTCCCTGGCACCAAGTGGAGCCTGACCACATTGGGAGCTGAAGTCACCTCTGTCACCTGAAACCACAAAGGATCCTATCCAGACACCAAACCCATGACTCAGGAAGCCATTGAGCTTCTCTGCATCCATGTTCTCCCTTACAAGGTAAAGCAACTGGATTAATCAGTGTTTTTTCTAAGTTTCTTAACTATGGAGACCTTATTTATCAATCCAGAATTATACTCTGGAACCTAATATACGACACTGATAATAAACCAGCTCTTAACCCAGGATCCCTCCACAGAACCCAGGGCCCCTCTACAGAACCCAGGAGCAGGATCCCTCCACAGAACCCAGGAGCCCCTCTACAGAACCCAGGGCCCCACTACGGGGCAGGGCCTCTACAGAACCCAGGATCCTCCACCACAAGGCCCAGGGCCCTCTACAGAACCCAGGGCCCACTGCAGAACCAGGGCCTCTACAGAACCCAGGGCCCCTCTACAGAACTCCAGGACCCCCTACAGAACCCAGGGCCCTCTCGGAACCCAGGGCCCACTTGAGACAGGGCCCCACTACAGAACCCAGGGCCCCTCTACAGAACCCAGGATCCCTCCACAGAACCCAGGGCTCCTCTACAGAACCCAGGGCCCCACTCACGGAACCCAGGGCTCGTCCCTGGCCCCAGTAGGTGTATGCAACTCTGCACTGCAGGCAGTGGAAAGTGGGAGTAGTTGTGGGGCGCCCCAATTCTCTTCAGGAGGAGGCTACCGCTGCCTCACAGAGGCGAGGTGAGCAGTGGATGCAGGGTTTGTTTTGGAAACAACACACAAGCCTTTCTGACCTCATGTTCCTTTCTAAAAAATAGGTCTGGCCGAGGCCTGCGCCTGCTGAGGGTTGCTGTGGAAATAAATTCTCTCTGCAGCTGACCGAGGCCATGTCCAGCGGCCGCCACGGTGCTAGTTTCTGCCGTTTGCCTTTCTTCTGTTGGTCAGCACACTCTGTCCCTCAAAGCCGCAGAGAAATGCAGCGATCACAGGGCCCAGGGCTGCGTTTCGGAGAGCCACAGGCAAGGGCAACAGCTCGCTTTGCAGCCGCACACTGCAGTCCTGCTGAGATGGAAAATGCAGTGAGCGACGGTCAGCTATTTCGAGACTAGAGGAGCTTGAGCCACAACTGCCAACTTCCAGACAGTGGGTCCAGAGGGCAAGGGCTGGCTGACAACCCGGCTAAAGTATGGGATCATTTCCCAGGGCCCCTCTACAGAACCCAGGATCCCTCCACAGAACCCAGGGCTCCTCTACAGAACCCAGGGCCCCACTACGGAACCCAGGGCTCGTCCCCTGGCCCCAGTAGGTGTGTCCTGCTCTGCACTGCACAGGCAGTGGGAAGAGTGGGGTAGTTGTGGGACGCCCCAATTCTCTTCAGGAGGAGGCTGCAACTGCCTCACAGAGGACGAGGTGAGCAGTGGATGCAGGGTTTGTTTTAAAACAACACACAAGCCTTTCTGACCTCATGTTCCTTTCTAAAAATGGGTCTGGCTGAGGCCTGCGCCTGCTGAGGGTTGCTGTGGAAATAAATTCTCTCTGCAGCTGACCGAGGCCATGTCCAGCGGCCACCACGGTGCTAGTTTCTGCCGTTTGCCTTTCTTCTGTTGGTCAGCACACTCTGTCCCTCAAAGCCGCGCAGAGGAAATGCAGCGATCACAGGGCCCAGGGCTGCGTTTCGGAGGCCACAGGCAAGACAACAGCTCAGCTTTGCAGCCGCACACAGTCCTGCTGAGATGGAAAATGCAGTGAGCGGCGGTCAGCTATTTCGGGACTGAAAGGGCTTATGACCACAACTGCCAACTTCAGACAGTGGGTCCAGAGGGCAAGGGGCTGGCTGACAACCCGCTAAAGTATGGGATCCATTTCTAATCAAGATAAAGGATTAGGGACATGATGTCTGCTCACTTACGAGCATAAAGGCGTCTTCGGGGAAGTAATTATATGCTTGGGATGGAATCTTAAACCCAAAGAATGAGAAGCCAATTTATAGGCCGTGATAAAGCTGGGGCTAAATTGGTCCCAACTGTTAAGAACCTGGGTAAGATTTCAGAAGAAAAATCTTTCCACGGATGTTCCTATAGAAAGCCTGGCATCCACGCGGGTGGGAGGCAGTTGTTCTGAACCAGGGAGGCTGTGTCCTGTGGGGCAGGTGCACACAGACCTCCCCACACCTTCAGTCGAGTTGACTTCCACAGAAAGGGGCAGGGCTGGGCGATGGTCAGCCAGAGGAAAGCCAGACACCGCTGTGGGGTGGGGTGCACACATGCCACTTCCATCGCAGCAGGTCTAGAGGAGACACAGGGTTCCCCAAGGGGCTCCGTGAGTCACCTGCCCCTTCGTCCCTGGGAGCCATGCCAGGGTTTACGACCACACGTCCTCTGGGAGAAGCTGCCCGTTCCCATAGCCCCCACAGGGCTTCCTGTCCACGTGGGCGCCCACCCTCTCCTGTGCAGACACCTGAGGCAGGGAAGGGGCCTCCTGGGACTCTAAGGATCCCCAGAACTCCAGGGCCACACATGGGCCACAGCAGCACAGCACCCACACCCATCTCAGCACCCGCATGTCCTGGAACACGCTGGGAGTGCTGCTGGGACAACAGGAAAGGAAGTGTCTGGGCTCTCAGCATCACCTGGGCCCTGCAGACCCCCTGAGGCTGGGCTCCCACCAGGGAGACTGGGCCCAGGACATTTTAAATCCCACAGGCTCCAACGTGCCACCAGCTGGACACTCTAAGTCGAGGCCATTGCCATCTCAGGCAGCCATGCAGAACTCTGGTTCCCAGGCCGGCAGCCACAGGCCAGTTAGTCAGAGCCTGAGTTCCACTCTAGGAAGCCTGGAGCCTGGCACACTTGGTCCCGAGGGCTCCCCTCAGGCAACGACCTCTCCATGCCAGATTCCCTCGGAGGTGCTTCCTGCCTACAGCAACACCACAGCAAACACTGAGGCTGAGGCTGTGCCTGCCCCACATCTGCAGCCCCTCCCAAGACCCCTCTGGTTCCAGCTCTGCCAGCAAGCGGGGAGGACCTCCACAGGTGAGCACAGCCTTGTGGCCCGAGGCCCTCACATAAGGGTAACCCTCTGAGCTGGTCTCACGCTGGCCCTCAAATGTGTCTCTGCGTGCCACGGAGTGGGAGAATTTCATACAGATCATCCAGAAGCATGATTAGGAAAAGCCCCACACAGTTTTGGGTCCTGCAATATGGGGAGAGCATCCCGCGTGGTCTGCTGGGCGCAATGTAACCCCAAGGCCCTCAGGACATGGGGACCAGAGAGAGATGGCGGGAGAGGCCAACCTGAGACGCTGGGACCACAAAGAGATGGCGGGAGAAGCTGACCCGAGCTGCTGGGTCAGAGGCAGAGGCTGCAAGCCAGGGGCAGCCTTGAGAAGCTGGAAGCATGGAAGGTGGCCACGTGGCTTCTCTCCTGGAGCCTCCAGGAAAGGGGCAGAAGTGGCTCCAGGGAGAGCACACGGGGCACTTGCACCCCAAGAGAAAGGAAGATGCTTTTAAAGCTCCAACTGGCTGAATTCAGAGGGAGATAGCATCACAGCCTACAAAAAGTGGGGTCTCTCTTAGTAAATTTCGCATGTATTTACTGCACTGATGGAAACAAGACTCATTGCCAATTATATTCTGCATTTGTGCTCCTAGCAGCATTGGCAAAGTGTGTTAAGGTGCATTATGTTACCCGGGCCCAGAAGCAGACGTCGGTGCAGGTGCCGCTGTCGCCATTTTAGAGATGGGACGGGCGCTGCGGCTCCATGGGGGAGGTGGTTCTCGAGCTCACATGTGCTGCTGAGAAGGACGGCGATTTTCTCATTTTTTATGTCACCCCATCTCGGGGTTTGCAGGCAAATGTCAGCAGACTCACCCTCTCTTATGAAAAGCAGGGATTGTTTCAAGGCTGAACTCAGGACACTCTCCAGGTCTTAGAAGTGATGAAAATGTAAGTCCCTGAACTGCCTCACTTGGCGCTGAGTGACAACCCAGGAAAACCCTCCCTGCAGGGTAACTTTGGGAGAAAGTGCGAGGAGACAGCAGCCCCTCCTTTCGCGGGCAGGCGGCTGGCTGAGCCCCCAGGCCCATGCCTGGACGTCTTCTCCCTCCAAGCACAAAGACGCCCCTGGGCCCGCCCCAGCCCCTTCACCTGCCACTGATTAGGGAACCAGCATCCAGCCCGGGCCTTGTGCAGCACCGCCTGCCACCCTCCTGCATTAGCACACTCCTAATTGATTAAGTGGATGATTGATTATTGGACCTGTGCAGTCTGCTTTCCAGACCCGTTGTCTGGGAACGGAAAGCCACGCTTGGCCCTCGGATGCAGCAGGCGCCCCCTGTCCCGGCTGCTCCAGGCTGCAGAGCCGAGGTGATTGGCGCCAGGCTGCCCACCCTGCCTGCCCCAGCAAGTGCATCGGTTGCGCCCTCGTGGTTTCTGCTCTTTGCATGTCAGGTCCCAGCAGGAGGCTGCAGTCAGACGCTGCTCAGCGTCCAGCAAGGGGCCGCCCAGATCCCATCTTCACAGACCCACTCTAAGCCCCTCCTTCCCTCAGACCCACCGGAGCCAACTCTGCCCCCACACAGCTCCACCGCCCCAGGCTCCTTCCCGCTACTGTAAGAGACCACCACAGGTCGCGTGGGCCAGAGCCCGGCACTGCTTCTTGGGTGAGGCTCAAGGGGTCCTCACCCAGCACCATGGGCCCACCCTTATCTGGGAATCGGGCCTGGCCTGGAGTGATCATGAGGCCACATGACATGGGCGTGTCAGTCTCACCAATGTGTGTTTTCACAGGCACGACGGAGTCTGTTTTCTACAGGTGGGGCAGGGGTGTGCATATCCCTCTTAATACCAGCACAGGTAAGGCCAGGGGGTGGCAGAACGTAGAGAGAACCCGGACACTGAGACACCAGTGCCGCCCCCCACTGTCCATGAAGCCTGAGCTTCAGGCTGCACTGGCAGGACTTTTATTCATCACCCTGCACGCCGCCGTCCATCTCCTAGGCCAGCGTGATTCCTCTGAGTGCAGCTGGGTCTCCTCCCAGTAGATCTGGTGACTTCAGCAGCATGGGTGCTGGG